CAAAAGTATTTTTCTGTAATTAAACCTTTCTAAAATGCTAATTACCTCAAATATTATATATAATAGACTCAATTATTCTATTGATCCCTTTTAGTAAAGTTGGTTTCTTTTGTATCAGTCAACCGTGTATGTATTCCGATGAAATGTTCCCTACATTTGACTTTATTACGAACAAATGTCTTGTCCATGATTGAGCAAGAATACTCTCGCTTGCTTTGTCTTGTCCATGATAGAGCAAGAATACTCAATAAACTTTATTATGAACAAACGTCTTGTCCATGATAGAGTAAGAATACTTCATAAATAATATCTAACCAAGTAATGAGGATGTTTCAATGCACAGGCCCCATTAAGATAAGTAATCTTGTTAGATCTATTGTTTTTTTATAACTACTCCACACATGAACCAAAACCAATAGCAATCTTCAAATTCACTAATTCATTAACTCATCAACATTAATTGCATCTTATGGAAAAGACCCTGAACTAAGAGAAGGAAATGCAGCCTTTGGAGCTACACGTGCTCTAAAACTGTTAAGAATTGGTAAAACTAACTAGAATCACTCTCGCAGTTAAGTTTACTGAGCGATTTCGTTTTTTAAAATAAAACAAATTACATAATTGACATTTGGACCTAGTTTACCACAACCATGCAAATATCAGAAAGGCAATAAATTCTTCAACTTTGAGTAAACATAGGTTCAAAACACAACTTAGCAAAGTTACTTCAACATCTCTCTTATGCGTAAGCTGTTTAGATAGTTGTATACGGTATACCATCTTATAATGCAATAATGAGAAGTTTGTGGTGTTATTTATTTCTATTAAATCTAAATTAAACCATATTCTGAAATTTCTAGATCTATATTCACAATTCATTATGTTATGAGTTATCCTTAATTCTCCGTCATCAATTGTAAATCCTGTGCAACATGGCAAACAGAGTTGAGCTTAAGAAAATCATTTTAGATCCAGGTAAAGATACACCTCCACAGAGCTATCTTGTGTACTGAAAGATATTTTATACTTGCAGTTACTTACTAGATCAATTCTTCTTTAATACATAAGACATAAAAAGCCACATGGAAGTTAGAATAGACGCTAACCTCAGCTCCTGCTTGAACCTCTCTTACAACAATCATTTCAAGATTATTAGGATCATCTCCTGAATTGGTAAAGTTATCACCTGAATTTCCTGAAAAACAGTATCAAGTGAATATCCTTCAATAAGTCAAGAAAGAAAGAGATAGTCAAGAAAGAAAGAGATAGTCCTGAATACTCATACACAACCTGAAGGGCTAGAACTGAGAGTTTCAACCACAGATTTCTCATCATCAGATATTTGACTGATGTCGCCATCATCCTCATCATCTGAGCTAGATGAGGAATTTTGAGTGGTAAAGTGAACATTCTCAGCGGCTGTCTTATGATTGAAGCTGAGATGCATCACAAAACAAATCAAAGCAAAAACAGGCTTAAAAAAAATAAAACAAAACAAAACAAAAAAAGGAGAAAAAAATCAGGCTCTACAATGGAATATTACATAGGAGTTACATAAGCGCGATAGAGTATTAAACAAAAAAATGTCAAAAAATGAGGCTTTTTTTTCAATGTGATACATGTACCTTCTCTTAAATTAAATTACCCTAGACTCCCTAGAGAATGTTCATCCTGTTCCAGTATGCTAACGAAACATGCAAAATTAGGCTATAACCAAAATCAAGCTCAATGGACATCTCTGCTAAGAAGCCAATGATGCTCCTTTAGTTCTCTCTAATAACTCCTACGGCACAATATGAAACTTATTTGAAGGAACGACATTGTTTGCCCTTCCTCTAGCTTAATCAAGAATATTGTATTTCACTCAGTCAATCTGATTCGTAGAATACTGAATACCTGGCACCAGACTTGCAATGGGCGTGTGAGCCTACTTGAAGCGAAGCCTCCAAGATAATAAATTAGCTTTAATTTTCTTATCCAAATACTCTCCTCTGAAACTGATCTACTTGACACAGGCCTGAGATCATAAGAAAAAACAAATCCATTTTGGAAATTTTAGCTATTCTAAAATAGTAATAATAATAAAATAGTTCTTCCATGAAAATGCTCAACATCCAAGTAGGCTCACAAATTTGCGCACGCTCAAGTGCTTTTGGACAGCCAACGTCCTTTGTATTTGATTAGTGTCCGTCCCCCACAACATCTCGATTTCCTTTCAGAAAAAGTATTTGCTTATGATACTATAATACACTCTTTATCCTTCTTCAGATCAAATAGCATTTTAATAAAAGATGGTTAAAAATATTCCAATGCCCTACTACACATCCAATAACTTACAGAATCCAGTCATATACTTTCGGTTTGGTTACCCTAGCGGAGTTTGGGTTATCCACGGCTAATGCAAAAAAAGATACGTTGGATGTTTGTCTTCCATTCCAAATATCCAGATAAGATTACCTTATCAACACACTAATTATTCTGTAAATCTGTAGGACTATTAGCCAATCTGCAAAGTTTACTTCACATCACTAATTTGACAGAACTGGAGATGCACTTGTTCTTTACAATCTGTTATTATGGAGTTTGTCCAGCTGTTATCTACCAGAACCCTATATATTTTTAACTTAACTCTCAAAATGCCATTCATTTCGAAAATGTATATTATCTATACAGGTGTAAGCTAGATATAAACTCCTAAAGGAAAAAATAAGTACAGAAAGTTAAATGATAAACAAATAGCATGAGAAGTTATATTGGATAGGACACACCTAACGGGCCTCCATTTGAATTTTACACATTATGGTCCCATTTTCATCAAAATTTGAACTGAGGAATACATATTTGCATTCATCTGTTGCTCCTATATGTCCTCTAACAATGTCAGATATGTTGCACATTCAAGTTCAAGGTAAAACAAGAATATCGTCTTCTTAAAGTCAGGTCACATTTGGATAGCAGAAATCCTAGTATCATCCCAACTATCCAACAAAGATTTTGTTCTGTGGGGTGGTTAGTGGATTCTGCTAAAAAATGTGATTCATGTAAGGATATTCAAAACCAACTATTCAAGAATATTCCTCTGTGCATTAATAGATGCAAACTTTCAAGGATATTCAAGAAAACGTTTTCTTTCTTTAATTGTTTCATCATCAATGGGTTCCGGAAAAAGGCAACATGGTTTTGGATAGTAGAGCAGAGTGATTTGGGACTGTTTCATCAATGCAAAATGGATAGGATTCATCTCAGTCAACAATGTTGAAAAAACTTCAACAGAGAAGTTGAAAAGCTTAGCTTTAAGAACATCCCTTATAACTCCTCAAGGCGAAAAGATTTTGTTTTGTGGGTTAGTCAGTGGATTCTGCAAAAAATTGTGATACATTACCCAAGAATACAATAGCTTTTCCCTTCTCTTTGAACTTGCACAAACAATGGTTTGAAACATCAAGCTGTCTATGATCTATCACTTTTATTTTTCTCAATTCTGATTATAATACAAATTTCTACATGCATGACCTTTTGAAACAAAAGGGTACACAAATTAGATGACTCATTGTATAGAATCATCTAACAACAACAACAACAACCAAGCCTTCATCCCACATGTTTGGGGTCGGTTACATGAATCATATTTTTTCATTCTACTCTGTTACGGGTCATTTGCTCCATTACGTTAATCCTAATTATATCCTTCTTAATTGTTTCTGACCAAGTCATTCTAGGTCAACCTCTAGATCTTCTAGCCCCATTAACTCTAATATTATCACTTTTCCTAATCGGTACACTAAGGGGTCTCATTTGTACATGACCAAACTATCTTAATATATTCTCTCTCATTTTATCCTTAATAGGCGCAACCTCTAATTTACTACGGATACACTCATTTCTTATCCTATCTTTTAATGTATACCCACAAGACCATCGCAACATTCTCATTTCTACTACACTCATTTTTTGAACATGTTATTTTTTTAATTGCCCAACATTCTGACCCATAAAGCATAGTTGGTCTTATACCCATCCTATAAAATTTTTCCTTTAATTTTATTGGTATTCTACGATTACATAAGACTCCCGAAGCACTCATCAATTTCAATCATCCCGATTTGATTCGATGCACAATATCATCATCTATCTCACCATTATGCCTAATGATAGATCCTAAATAGCAAAAATGATTAGTTTTAAGTATTTCTTGGCCATCAATATGTACCATATGCTCTTTTTCTTTCTTACTTTTACTAAAAATACATTCCACATATTCTGTTTTTGTTCTACTAATTCTAAAACCTTTAGACTCAAGAACTTGTCTCCATATTTCTACTTTAGAAATATGTCTCTTCTAGTTTCATCAATTAATATTATATCATCAACAAATAACATATACCATGAGATTTCATCCTGAATGTGCTTAGTAAGTTGGTCCATAACTAATGCAAAAAGATAAAGACTTAAAGCTGACAATTGGTGTAAACCTATGGTAATAGGAAATTGTTTAGTCTCTCCTTCATTAGTTCTTATTCTAGTTGTTACGCTATCATACATATCTTTAATCAAATCAATATATATACTAGATATATGTTTCTTTTCTAACACCCACCCAGTGTTTTAAATATCGACCGTCATGTCGGACATGGCGGCTGATATTGCGGATTCGGAGCCTAGTCGCCACGAAATTGTAATTACTTGTTATTGCATGTGTTTCTTTATAATGGAAGGCTATAAGAACACATGAATTTATTTGTATTAGGTGCACATATACTTCGGTTTTACTAGTTTCTTGTTTGGAGAAATGACAGATATATAATAAAAATCCTGCAATTGTTAGTCGATGCAGTTAAGTAGTTTAGAATAGCAATTACGAGTTTAATTTTCAATTTCAGTAGAATTTTCTTTTTGTTCCTACTAGTATAATGCACGCGCTTTGTATGTGAACATTTTTTTTTGTAATCTTTTTCTTTGAGTGTAAAATTATGAAGTGACTTTTATAATAACATAAATTCTTAAATTGAACAATTAATAAATCTTTACATTAATAAATAAAGTTGTGTATAAAGAATTGTATTAGTAATTTTTATATTCTGGATAATTATTATACTTTAATAAGAATTGTCTAAACATATGCAGTTAAGTTGTTCTAGTGTCTATTTGGTTTTCTATGCAAAAGCAAAAACTTGGTGGTTGCATGTGAAAATGAAGACCTTCTCATATGTACTTTTCATATGTTTAGACAATATAATTATCAAGTATGTGAAGATTCCATTTATGATATTATATCAACCTATCCGATATGGCAATCCGATATTTTTTTCATGTCCCCCGATATATCCCCGATTTTCGCTATCCGACATGAATTTTGGCCGAGCGACATGAACCCGACATCCGATATTTAAAACCTTGCACCCACCGCATTACCTCTCTAGATACTCTATCATAAATTTTTTCTAGATCGATAAAAATCATATGTAGATCATTTCTCCTCTCTATATCTCTCCATCAACCGTCTCAAAATATGTATATGTTCTATAGTTGACCTTCCAAGCATAAAACCAAATTGATTTTCAAATATACATGTCTCTTTTCTTAGTCTTTGCTCAATTACCTCCCCTCAAAGTTTCATAGTATGACTCATGAGTTTTATACCTCGATAATTTGAACAACTTTGTATATCCCCTTTATCAAAGTTTCATAGTATGACTCATGAGTTTTATACCTCGATAATTTGAACAACTTTGTATATCCCCTTTATTCTTATATATCGGTATCAAAATATAGTTTTATACCTCGATAATTTGAACAACTTTGTATATCCCCTTTATTCTTATATATCGGTATCAAAATATTAATCCTCCACTCATCTAATTAGAATAACATAATTGTATATTATATTATCTGTAGCAGCAACAGCTACCACCTATTAAGATACGGTTCTTGGAACGAAAACTTGCTAATTATGAATTAACCTTTACAAAATAATGAATCATTTAGCAAAATGAGGTCCTAATAGCAAGAGGTGAGACCTACCTATTTTTCCCATTTGATTTGACTAGTAGAGTGGGCATTGCCCCTTCCTAAGTAATTAATTATGCTAAATGAGTTGTCACCTCATAAACATTATTCTTGTGTGTGTTTGTTTGTATGTTTGCAGGTCTTCAACATTAACTTTGCATTCTGCAATAAAAGAGGTCAACATGTCAAGATTGCAGACCAACACCCTTATAAACATACCTAACCTTTTCCATGAGGAAATAGTAACTCAACAGACATTTACCAGATGTGCTAATAGTTCATGTTACTTACAGATCAGCTAAAGGGACCATTCCATAGCCGTGGTAATCATCTATCTCAAAGGATCTTGATGAAACAAGGCTCTTGGCAGAGAAATATTGTTCAACACCAAAGTAACTTGGATCAAGCTTAAAAGATTCAGATAGAATAAGAGGTTCGATGTGCTCTTTCCAGTCCTCACAAAGGCAAGCCTTATCTTCTTTTACCACCTGTCTAGATATATATGAGAGCAAAGTAGAGTACCGAGATTAGTGAACTAATGTGAAGCTAATGTCTTTTTCAAAATTAACTTGAAATAAGTGAAGGAAATTTTTCTGTATTCAGGGGTGTCAATGAGCTTATCTAAAATTGGAATGAAGTGTATTTAAAACAACATAGGGTAGAAATGCAATGGGTAACTTCAGTGCTCCGGAATCAAGCCCTTGAGCCTAGGGCATCCTTGGCTTGGTCAAATAAGCTTAATGAGCTTCTATAGCCTATTCATTTTATTTAGTTCCAACTTAAGAGTATAACATGACGCTTTTCATCCATGCTTGCACCAAATTTTTTTGTATCATTATCCAAAGGAACTCATTTCTATTTGAAAAAAATTTGACCAAACAATCAAACAAGAAAATATATCCAAAGAGGCAGCTATTATCATTATCTACGATTTCAACAGAATTACCTCACTTACCCAAATGGAATATGGAAGTAAAAATATATGAAGATGTGGTTGTTTAACATGCTGCTAGTGTAATGCAACAATTGTTGCATGCTACAACAGCTACATGCAACATTCATTCTAGAAAATTAACCTCAAACCCTTCATATGAATATTTCTATAATATTGTACTAAATGTATTTCCACAACCAAATGCAAATCCAAAGTTTGATTAGTTGAAAAAAAATTGTTAGTTTTTACATTTTTTTGTTGTATGAAATGTACATTTCCTCTGCAAATTAATTGTTGGTTTATCACATTTCTGAAATGATTTACATTTTCTAATTTCAACTCAACTAACTTAACGGCGTGGATTTTTAACTCTTTACTAATTAAAGGACTAGCAGCATTTTTGCAGTCAAAACCTTTTCTACAAAATGTAAATCTAATTACCATTGCAATTTGCAAACTAGCTTAGTGCTAACCAAATGTCAGAGTAGTAGAAAGCAACATATTGTGCTACATATCTATTTCGTGTCAACCATACAGGCTAAGCATATCTGTCATTTTAGATGTCTAGATTTTTATTGTAGGAAGAGTGTGTTTGTTTGTATGCAAGTGAAAAGTGAAAGCATGAAATTTAAATGCTTTTAACACTTTGGGTGTTCGTTTTGTTTTATTAATGGTTGTGATAGTGAAATGCCAAATCTTGTCCACATCAGATTTAATGCATGTTTAAGTTCCTCTAGAAAACTGCTGAAGTCAAATGAAAATGAGAAAAAAGAGGACCACTCCTAATTAAAATATTGTATTTGTCAATATATAATAACAATCACATCTTTCTGAAATCATCTTCAGCTTCCGCCTCCCTTACATGTCCACATTTTTTCCTCCTTCGATTTTCACCTCGGCGTTTCTTTATCGACAATATGATGACAAACTGACAATACTTGAGATTTGTTGATTTTCTATTTCTTTTACATATGATCAACCTCTTTTGTCATCCTGCTGGGAATAATGAACTTTAATTTTCAATTAAAAAGAAAGAGTTGGATCATATGTAAAGGGGGAAAAACAAAGCACAAGTATGGCATCGAAGTTTAACAAAATGGCGTCCATGTCAGATTTAATGAACTACAATTTTCAATTAAAAAGAAAAAAAAAGAAAAAAAGAACATCAAAAAATTTAATCAGAAATTAGCATGATGAAGTTTTATTGGATTTTCATGGTACAAAATAGGTTAGCTGTAGGAGGGTGTGATTTAAATTTATGAAGGACAATTGTCACATCATGTTTATTTTTCTAGTTTCAACAACTATTTTTTAGACAAATAAACATTGTATTTCACTCGCATGCTAACATGGATTCTCTCTCTCTCTCTATTTCACTCGCATGCTAACATGGATTCTCTCTCTCTCTCTCTCTCTCTCAAACGCGGGCTTTCACCCTTTGAGTTCACTCTAACGCCTCGTTTGGTACGTGGGAATGAAGTCAAGTGAGAATGGAATGGAAGAATGAATGGAATGGAATGTATGTGAGAATGGAATGGTCATCACATTCTCTTGTTTGGGTGCGTTTGTAGAATGAAACTAGAATAAAAATCTAGCTAATTCTCATTCCCATGTTTGGTATCACTAGTTCACAGGTGAGAATGAAATCTCATTTTCTAATAATGTCCTCATAACAACATAGATTTTTAATAAGATAAAAATAAACAATAATGATAATAACTAAAAAAAATATTTATGCATATGTTATATTAATCTAGGTATGTGTTATACTAATGCGCTTGTTATCGATCAGGTGTATGTTTCGTTTATAATTTTTAAACAATTCTCACTATTTCTGCATATGTTATATTAATCTATTTATGTGTTATAATAATGCCCTTATACCTCTATATATAGTCTAGACATGATATGGTTTTGATAATTTTAATATTTTGGCCAATTTCTCAGCGAGAGTTTCCTCTTTTCATAAATATTGGGTCAAATATTTTTCAATCAAAAGTTAGATTTATTGTTGTGCATGAACCACAATCAAACATGTACGCAATGGGTACATATAGTTCTATATGGTGGGAAAACAATAGCAAAAGTTCAAAAAGAATATAATATGCTGGTGAAAATAACAGACTTTAAACATTGGTGAATAAACAAAAAAAATTGATTGACCAAAAAAAATATTGACAAGAAAGAATTTCAATCGGCAAATAATATATAGTTTCAGTTGTTATATTAAATTGTGTTGCTCCTATGTTGAGCAATTATGATATAATAGGCTAATGAAATATGTACGGCTAGTTTTAATATGCTACTGAAATATGTACCAATAGTTTTAATCCCTACCCCGCAAAAAATTCCTATTGTTCGAATATAATTAGTAGCTGAGAGAAAATGAGAATACATAGTCAAAAGTCATAATTTTTAAATTGATTCTTATTATTAATAGGGGTGTAATTAAAAAAAACTAACTAATTTGATTCTCCCCTTGAATGAGAATGATCATTCCCTATCTTCTCACTTGGAATGCACATTCTCACAAAAAATGGGAATGACCATTCCATGGGAATGGTCATTCCAACATCTAAAAACAAGTTTTATTTGGTATGAGGGAATGAGAAGTGAGAATGATATTTCATTCCACCCTATTCCCGCATACCAAACGGGGCCTAAGTTTGTCAAACACCCCCCAGAATGTTTTTCCAAATCCAGTGTTTCATTAGTTGCAAAAAATAGATGGGTTTAAATATTCTGTTGCACAAAAATATTTTTGAATTACAAATCAAATGTCTGTACATCGAAAATTGTAAAATAAACTACATTTTCTGGTTTGCTCAAATTAACTTCTTGACGTGTTAACATTTCCCCTTTTTAATTAGGGAAAAATGCTTCTAGCCCCCAAAAGCCAAGTGAACGTGCTTCCCACCCCCAAGACTTGGTCAATAGGCGTTTTACCGGTAAAAATAAAGAATCTGTTTTCTGAGCCCCAAAACACAAAACCCAAGACATTAAAACATGTGAAGACCATAATACCCTTCTCTCTCTCTTTCTTTTTTTATTAAAATATGATGAGGGTTATTTTATTATTTTGTTTTTTTCTCTCTCTTTATCATGATGTACCAAGAGGATAGTTGAAATGATTGATGAGGATTATTTTATTATTTTTGTTTTTTATTATTTTCGTTGTTTGTATTGGGATGTTGTTAAAGTTACGGGTTAATTGTTAAGGTTACGAGTTAATTGTTAATATTACGGGTCAATTGTTAATGTTATGAATCCTCTCTCTCTCTTTCTTTTTTAATTAAAATATGATGAGGGTTATTTTATTATTTTTGTTTTTCTCTCTCTTTATCATGATGTACCAAGAGGATAGTTGAAATGATTGATAAGGATTATTTTATTATTTTTATTTTTTATTATTTTGGTTGTTTGTATTGGGAGATTGTTAAAGTTACGGGTTAATTGTTAAGATTACGAGTTAATTGTTAATATTACGGGTCAATTGTTAAGGTTATGAATCCTCTCTCTCTCTCTCTCTCTATCATGATGTTTCTTTGATGATATTGAAATGATTAAAGAGGATTATTATTTTATTATTTTTGTTTTTTATTCTTTTTGTATTTTTAGAATATTCGTTGTTAATGGTTACGGTTTTAATTGTTAAGGTTATGGATCCCTTCTCTCTCTCCCTCGTAACCTTAACAATTAAAACCGTAACCATAATAATTAAACCCGTAACCTTAACAATTAAACCTGTAATCTTAACAATTAAACCGTAACCTTAACAATTAATAAACCGTAACCGTAACAATTAAACTCGTAACCTTAACAATTAAATACGTAACCTTAACAATTAAATCCGTAACCTTAACAATTAAATCCGTAACCTTAATAATTAAACACGTAACCTTAACAATTAAACCCGTAACATTAACAACAAATCCGTAACCTACACAACAAACCCATAACCTTAACAACAAACCCTTAACCTTAACAACCAACCCGTAACCTTAACAATCAACCCGTAACTTTAACAACCTCCCAATACAAACAACCAAAATAATAAAAAACAAAAATAATAAAATAATCATCATCAATCATTTCAACTATCCTCTTGGTACATCATGATAAAGAGAGAGAGAAAACAAAAATAATAAAATAATCCCCATCATATTTTAATAAAAAAAGAAAGAGAGAGAGAGAGGATTCATAACCTTAACAACAAACCCTTAACCTTAACAACCAACCCGTAACCTTAACAATCAACCCGTAACTTTAACAACCTCCCAATACAAACAACCAAAATAATAAAAAACAAAAATAATAAAATAATCCTCATCAATCATTTCAACTATCCTCTTGGTACATCATGATAAAGAGAGAGAGAAAAACAAAAATAATAAAATAACCCTCATCATATTTTAATTAAAAAAGAAAGAGAGAGAGGATTCATAACCTTAACAATTGACCCGTAACATTAACAATTAACTCGTAACCTTAACAATTAACCCGTAACTTTAACAACATCCCAATACAAACGAAAATAATAAAAAATAAAAATAATAAAATAATCCTCATCAATCATTTCAATTATCCTCTTGGTACATCATGATAAAGAGAGAGAAAAAAATAATAATAAAATAAGCATCATCATATTTTATTAAAAAAAGAAAGAGAGAGAAGGGTATTATGGTCTTCACATATTTTAATGTCTTGGGTTTTGTGTTTTGGGGCTCAGAGAACAGATTCTTTATTTTTAGGGGTAAAACGCTCATTGACCAAGTCTTGGGGGTGGGAAGCATGTTCACTTGGCTTTTGGGGGCTGGAAGCATTTTTCCCTTTTAATTAAACAAAAAGACCTGCAGCATTGACCGCACTCGGCTGCAGCCTTTTTTTTTTTTTAAATGTAATTCCAATTATCATGTTCAACAATATTGTTGCTAACTTAATGCTGATGCAGAAATTTGGTCAACCAAAGAGCCCGTGATGAAAACAGTCATAAAATTCACCAAAAAAATAATAAAAAGAGTAATTTTCCCATACCTTATCGAGTTCAGTCCCGGAAAGAAGCGAATCCGCCTCCTCCAAGCTCCAAACCAACGGCACACTCTCTCTCTCAGGCAGCACCTGCAAGTACCCATCCCACGGCGAATCGCTCCCCAAGCTCCTCTCGTACATCACAGCAACACACAGCCCCAGCGAACCCTCGAGCTCCGCCTCCTCGATCATCTCCCTCGCCGCCGAGGTCTTAACAGTGAGGCAAGAGAGCTTGGGGATCGTGGCGACGAGGTCGCCGACGGCGAGGTCGCAGAGGGAGAGGACGGAGGATGCCGGAGTCGGGTCCGTCGACGAAGCGGAGGGCGTCGGAGAAGTCGATGGAGTTGGAGGTCATCCATCGCTTGATGCTCGCAGGCGCCTGCAAGAGAGAATTCGAACAATTAGGGTTTGGGTTTTGGAGATCTGGGAGTCGTTAGGGAGAGCGGGGGGGGGAGAGAGAGTACGGCTGGTCATGTGGGGAGCAGCGGCGGCGGAGGCGGGAGAGGGGTTTGAGGAGGAAACAAAATGGGTTGGGTTTTTACAGGCAAGAAAGTACACGCTTGGGCCGGGCCGGGACTAAGGGCTTGTTTGGATTGAGGAGAATGAGGGTGAAGGGAAGTTAGGGGAACCATTTACCTCCATTCATCTTGTTTGGGAACACTTAGGAGGTGAAATTAATTCACCCTAGTTCCCCTTGGTTCACCTCCTAATACTATAAAATTTGTTACCCTCAAATTGGGGTGTAACCAAGGGGAAGAGAACTCCATTCCCTTCCCTTCCCTTCCATTCTCTCAGTTTCCCTTAACTTCCCTTCACCACCTACAAATCCAAACAGGCCCTAAATTGAACTTAGTTAACGTCTAAAATACCAAAGTGGTATTTAAAATAGACCCACTTTGCTTCTTTGGTATGTCAAAAGTCTCTGGTGTCTTTTTGGCATTTAAAATATATAATTTCTGTGATGAATTTGGATCCAAAATATGGGATCAATATGGGGGACAGGTTAGGTGTCTCCCTCCTATTACATAATGAGCTGGTCATCAATGATGACCAACTCATTATGCAATAGGAGGGGGACACCCTTCCATGTTGATCTCATATGTTGGGTCATTGAGGAATTTTTCTTTCGTGATTGGTCCTAAAATTCGCCGGAGTTCACTAATGCCGACGAAAATATCACGTGCCTATCACGTGATGTTTTATTACCGTTCTGACGTGGATTTGATTAAGGATTTAGGATGGAATATAAGCATTCATAACTACATGAACCCTAGGGCAACAAATTGGGTGAATACCATAGTGAAATCATGAGTTTGAATAATGAGATCAAGTGGTGGGAAGAGGAGACCGAAAGCTTAAAGTACGAGAATCGTATGTGCAAAAATGAAATTGCATCATGTTTAGGAGAAATTGGTAGAATGAGAACGTGGTTTGATTCACAGAATGGAGCTCTGAAATTAGTGTTTGTTATCATATTTGCTTTTTTATTTGTAATTAGGGGCTGTTTGGTTCGTTTCCTTCATATAGAGAAATGCAATTCCATGTAAAGAAACACAAGTTTTGAGTTTTTTAAAATTTTCCAAGAAATAGATTGTTTTGCTTTGGTTCGCACATAAAAAATGGTGAGAAACCAATGTATTTATTTTTCTTGTGTTTGGTTCGCATAGAAAAAAAAGAAAAACTTTTGTAAACAAAGCAGAGAATGAAAAAAATCTGACGTGGCAGAGTTTTCATCAATTTCACTTGGTTGGGGAAGGAAATCGGAGAGGGAAAAAAATCTTAGTTGGCGATGATTTCAGCAGAGTTTTCCCTCTTCCATTCGAGCGAACCAAAGCGGCACAAAGAAATGGACGGAAACAAAAAAGCTGACGTGGAGGGCTAAAAATCTGACGTGGAGGAGTTTTCTTAGTTTTCTACCCCTTATAATAGCGAACCAAACAGCCCCTTATGAGACATGGGGATGTAATTGAAGTGTTTATGTGATGGTTTTTAAGTATTAATTAATCTTGTAATAGACTTAATTTTTTTGAAATGCCATAGTTGTTTTTCTAGTGCAAACATTACAACATTTCTTATATCTATTGTTAATCTCTTTGAGAAAATTGATCGCCAAAGTTGCATATGTGCATACTGTCAATAATTTTCAGATTTCGTAAAAATTTCGCTAGCACTTTGCTTGTAACTTGCAAATTACCTAATGATCATGATACATTCCAAACATACACAAAAGCTGCACAGCCAAATAACATATATGAAACCAGTTCTCAGCCAAATAATAGATATGACACCAAGTTGCACAACTAAATAACAAAAATATGTCAACCAAAATGCATATAACATTAGTATGAATCCGAATACAAGTGTCAAATAAACCAAAAAAACCGAATGAAAAATTAACAAGCTAAAGTTCATCCACATTAGTTTTGACTAATTGTGAACTGCGATGATTGACTTTTTAGTCTACAACCTGAGATGCATTCGGGGAATTATCCAAGATAATTGGTGATTAACTAAAAGTTGGAGTGAGTTTGAGCTTCACCTACAAGAAAATTTAGTAAGCTCAATCAGCAATAATAAAGAAAAAAAAAGAGTTTTATATAAAAATCAAACATTGTACCTTATACAGAATTTAGACCTCTTCTAGACCTATTTCTAATTAGTATTGCAGCTCTAAGTGAGGGATTATGTACAGCCATTTCATCCACAGATAGGCCAGTTCTTGTTCTACTTCCCCTTAGCCTACCCCTCTTCCTCTATTGACTTTGGCTCACCTTGATCAATTGCTTGTGCTTCCTAAAATTGGCAAACTCATATACATTAAAAAAAGTATAATTGAAAATGAATAAAGTAAAATAGACAGCCATATAAAGTTTGTAATTATCTGTTGAATTGAAGATCTTGGATTACGTGGAGGTGCAGTTGGAATGTCTAATAGAATGATAATTAGAGTGATAATAGCTACACCTTTGAGGAATTCCTTGCATTGATGATTTATAACGATTCCTTGGATTTGAGATAGAGCCTTTCTCCTTGTAGTTTTTTGTCTCCCTATTTTTCTCTTAACTATATTAAGTAATGTTCACTTTGATACCATTCTGATAAGTAATCCTCTGGTTTTCTTCTCATCCAAAATATTGCACTCACAACATGAGTGCAAGGGCATCCTATTAGATCCCGCACCCTACAAGAATATTTTTTCTTGCCTATATCCATAATATGACTAATATGTTTACGAATAACCTCAAATTCATTCTCATGTTTAGACCCATATCTTCTTGCCTACATCCACAACATTAGTAGTGTTCCCTTTAATTTAGGCACATGAGGCTTACTTGATTCTGCTTCATGGGTTTTGATCTGGCTCAGCTACATGAGGCTCACTTAGTTCAACCTCATGGTATTGATTTGCCTCAGCTAAATGGATCTCACTTGTTACTGCTTCATGTGTTTGGCTTGCCTCAGCTACATTTTTTTCATCATCACCTACTATTTTCGCACCAGATTTTAGAGCTTTACAATATTCCTTTGTTTAATCTCAGCAAGGTCTTCATTGTCACTATTTAATGCCTTTTGTAGCTAGTTGGCTATCAACAGACTTAATTAATCGACACATCACTGTGATGTCCGTGCTCATATATCTCTTCATTAGCCTTGTTCATGTCTTCTGTACTAGTAGGACCAACAATGCCTTCTCCATTCATAGCCTTTTTTTCTTGTTCTTTTAAATTCATCAACCAACTCTTCATCATTAACTAAATCATTAGCCTAAGTGGGATCCATTTTGTATGTTTAATCCTCTAATGAGTCATCATCATTAGGAGAGGATGCATTTTGAGCTATAGTGAATATCACGTTTTATTGCATTTTTATATCTATATTTCACATATTTTTTCATTCAATAAATTATTAATAATATATTTTTATCATGTTTTATAGGAAAAATGAATAAGAGCTTAAATGAAAATATCTCAAGCCCCAAAGTTCTCTACTAAAGCTCAAAAGAAACCACTAGAAGCCCAAGAATCGCAAGAATCCAAGACGAAGAAAAGTCTAAAAAAATAAAAAGAAAACCAGCTGCAAAATTATCCAATGATGCATCCATCGATGAGGCCATCGATTGTGTCATCGATGGGCTCATTGATGAGCCCATCATTAAGACCTCATCGCTGGTCTCATCGATGAGCCCATTGATGAACTCATCGATGAGCACCTGTCATTGATGAGCTTATTGATGCACTCATGGATGAGCTTCTAACAAACTCATCCAATGGCTTAAATTACAATATTGAAGCCCAAGCTTGACTTGAAGGCCGACATTAGTTGCTGCAAGGTATAAATAAGTGTAGAGAGTGAGGATGGGAGGTATGTAAAAATTTTATAAATTCTCTTTTGGTATAGGAGGGCTACTCTGAGAAGGCCTTCTAAAAATTGTAAAACTTAGTTTTGCAATAAAAAATATAATTACTTTCTTATTTAAATTTTTTCTTCTTCTTTTGTGTTGATGAAGACTTCAATATTTTTCTTTGTTCTACATAAGTGGCCAACCCCTTGCAACGTGAGTTTTTAGTTTTTTTAAATTTTCTGTTCAATTAGGGTTGCATGTTTAGGAAATAATATAGATTTAATTCATGCTTTGTTTTACTTGTTTAACTTTCATACTTAGTTAGTTTTTGTTATTAAATTTAGGAGTAGATTTATTTTAATGCTTAGAAGTCAGTCTATTTTCTTGATTTTTGTTTAGTTTATTTTATTACCTTTTTATTCATGCTTTCTTTATTTTCTCTTAATTTAGATTTAATAAAATGTGTAGCCAAATTTCTTAAGATAATTAGGAAAAAGAAACTAGTATAACTTATTCATTAGAGCTAGATTTGCTCTCTTTCATGCCTTAATTTTATTTATGTATAGATTAATAAATCAAAATAATATATAGTTTATAGAATATTTAATTTGATAGATTACACTTTCCTTGAGTATTCTGATAATCAATGCTTATTAGTAGTCTACTATTATTATTTTAAATTGATTATCTATGCACAAATTTTAATTTTACTTTAAGAATTTATATTGACATTATGCTTCCTTTAATTGGATTGATATGTTATACTTTTCAATTATAAAAATGAATAAAAAAGAGTCGAATTTATAGATCTAATAAATAGTTACCTAGTGGAATTTATCCTAATTTCTTAGTTCAATTCTCTTACTATTACTATTTCTCTCTTTTATTCCCTAGCTTTGTTAGTTTTTATCTTTTCTTTCTTTTTCTAATTCTTGTAGTTTTTGCATTTTCTTTTAGTTATTTTACCTCTCCATTTTCTTACCCCTTTTTCTCTTATTTTTAATTTTATTTTTCTCTTAATTTATTTTTTATTTTTTATTAGCATTTTTATTATCTTCTCTCTCCCTCTTTCTACTTTTTATATTATTTTCCTTCTAAAACAACAAAAATCCATAAAACCTTTTCAAGACCTTTTTATTAAAAAAACCTCTTCTCAACAAACTTCACAAAAAGGAAAATCTTTATTTTAAAAACCAAAAAAAAAAATCCTCCTTATGGTTTGATATTTTTCTATACTATAACTTAGCTATATTTATAACTTGGTTGTGCACTTGTAAAATACACTTTCTCACACAACAAGTTTTTGGCATCGTTGCTTAGGAGGGAATAAAATTTTAATTTATTTTATAATTTTTCGTTTTTGAGGTTCTTTGGTTCATTTGTTGAATTGTGTAGGATTCTAAACTTGTATTGAAGAAGAATTGAAAGTGGAGACTAAATTTAGTTTATCAAGAACATAATTTTTCTTCTATGTCAAATTGTTTTTCTAGTTAGTTCTCGTACAAATTTGTAATTTAAGTTAATAAAAAAGCAAAACCATAAATTGCTTTTATTTTCTTAAGGCATTCATTTGTAGATTGCTTTTATTTTCTTAGGTTGAATTTGCATATAGTTAATAGGAATCACCAAAGTGGTATTGAGCATTTTGATTTGTGCATACACTTGAAAATATTTATGAGGGCATAAACCCAAATCTATAGAAGGCGAGGGATTTCGACATCCTTTCCTTAGCCTAAAAGTCACTTAACTCCTCACTACACAAACTCAGGTCTTTAAAATTCACTGGACATTGGTCCATGGGAAGTGAACCTATTCTAGTCTCATTTAATTTAGTTGGTGCCTAAGATAGAAGTTAGGGCGGCAAAAAACCTCACAAGAAAAGAGGTTACGTAATTAGCACTTGAGTCACACTTAGGAAGAGCCCCATCTCTACTTACTCTTACCCAACCAACTAGTTAAGTGAACTGGAATTCGGTAAGGCTTGAAGGAGTATTTGGTTAGGAGCTGGTTTAGTAGAGTTTAGGCTTAACCCTAGAAATTAGGAGTAATTGATTGAGTGGTTTATCTTTAATTTGTTTAGTTAGGTTTTTTTCTTTTTTCCTTTTCTCCTTTAAAAATCTTTTACATCTATTTAGTTTTTCCTAAAAGATAAAAATTTCTCTTTAGATCATTTTCTTAGCTTTTATAAAAAATAAAAAAATATATCTCATATTCAAGTTTGAATTAGGGATAATACAAAATGTTGAGCTTATGTTGAAGTTGCATCAAAAGAAATGGCTAATCCCAATCCCATCTTACATTAGACTTCTGGATATTAATGGCATTAATTATGAATTTAGACCTCACTTCATAAATATATTTCCTAAATTTTTAGAAATGAATCTCAAAATGCTTACATTTTTATATCTAAGTTTGAGAAGGTTTGTCTTATGATAGAAATTAGAGAGTTATCTGAGGATGCACTCAGTTTAATGCATTTACTCTAAAGGATAGTGCTAAGAAATGACTATATAACTTGCCTATAAATTTTAGGGAAAAATGCCTCTAGCCCCCAAAACGCACCAGAATGTGCCCCCAAATACTTTTTCAACAGGCGCTTTACCCCAAAAAACCACCGTGATTTTCTCCTAGCCCCCAAAACAAGCTTCCACGTGAAATGCCGTTTAAAACTCACACGAACTGCCCAAAATACCATTCGATAGCCTGTAACCGCCACCCTCGCAAGTCCGAAATCTGGGATTGATATTATAGCATAAAATGATGAATAGAATGTGGTTTGGGGGGTAAAATCTTATTTCCCTCCAAATTATTACCATATCTAAATCCCCTACCGCTAAAAGTATCTCATCCCCATTTGCTTACCCCAACTACTCTTTCTCCTTCAACTTAATTCTCCAAAATAAATCATCTTCGATTCTTCAACTACTCCCTTGTTTAAATGACGGGTGAATCCCTTCTTTGCGTGGTGACAAAGGCAAAAAGCAACAAAGAGGGTGACAGTGTATTCGTTATTATCAAAGAGACTTTAGAAATCATCAACTTGAAATATCAAGTGTCACAAAGGTTTAAAATACCAATGCAATCTCTTTCACTGAAGTTCATATGCGAAAGGGAAAAGAAATTCAGTATTTCAATTGACAATGAAGCCATAGTATGATTCACTGAGAGGGTACATTCTTTTATTCTTATGGTTATTGGTTGGTTGTTAAGTATACAAGTGAAATTTGCCATTTGTCTACAAAGCAAAACCACAGTACATAAATAGTTTGAAAATAATCAGTAAACATAACAACTATGTTGTAAACTTGACAAAGCAACTGTAACCTTAACAACAAATCAGTAACCTTAACAACCAAAGCCTAACCTCAACAACCAATCAATAAGCTTAACAATAAAAGCATAAGCCTTACATGTTAATAATAACCTCAACAACTAACAGATGCCAGTAAATAGTAACCTTCACAACAGACTCCGAGCCTTATTAAGTAAAACATTAACAACTAAACAATAACCTTCACAACAGATCAATAACATTGGCAAAAAATTCATAATCCTAACAATGAATGAATTTCCTTGACAACTACATGCTAATCTTCACAACTTATCAGTATCCTTCATAATTAAAACATCATGCAACATGATAAACAACATAAAATTTACGATAAAAATCACTTTTTTTGTTGCCATAAGCTTCTCTTTATCTCCTCTCTATAGATCAAGGAGCGCTCTAGTGGCATCGTCGGGGCGCCGGTGGTGCCCTCTAGATCTGGGCAGGGGACTAGACTTTGAGCTGAACTTCTGGGACGAGAGTGGCTGGCTGCGATGTCCTCTAGAACATTATCAATCGTAGCTCCAGCATCAGTCTACTCTACTGTTGTCTGGGCTCTTTTTGAGACAACGAACCGCGACGCGTCTTCGTCTTCGCTGTGGTCGGCATGGAGGCAAACTTTGGAGGTTGAATGCCGCCATTTTTAACGTGTGCTTTGAGTCGGTGTAGCTTGGTGAGTGATTGATTTAGGGCTAGGGTTTTGAAATGTGTGATGGAGACGGTCGCCTGGACAGAAGAGAGGATGAAATGATAAGGAGTATCATAGGTTAACGAGAGCGCCAAAACATCGAAGGGTATTTGGGCTGTTGTGAATTTTAAACCGGCGTTCACGTGGGGGTTTGTTTTGGGGGGCTAGGAGAAAATCGTAGTTGCTTTCTGGGGGGCGCAAAGCGCCCGTTGAAAAAGTCTGTGGGGGGGGGGAGGGGGGGCACGTTCTGTAATACTTTTGGGGGATAGAGGCATTTTCCCCTAAATTTTATTTTCACTTAAGGTGAACTTGTTACCATTTTTTAGAAAACTTCTTCCCCATT